TATGGTACATAATCAAAGAGTGTGTATGAGGGGGGCGGGGTTTAAGACTCAATTCATCTGCTGTTATTTATTTTACAGCACCATTTATTTCTGGGTGTTTGTAATTCTTCTATTTTTTTGTGTTTTCTGAATTTCAATTCAATTCAATTTGTTTGCTATTATTGTTGTACATTTGGTCTTATATTAAAAAAAATTCAAAACAAGAACCCTGCAAGGGCACTGCAAATATAGGAAATTATTAATATTATTATTACATTCACATTATAGTATTATAAAATTATAATTTAAAGAATATTTACAATTAACTTAAATATAAATTGGATCATATTTTATTATTTATTTGTTTCAATTTCCTATTTCCTACTCAATCACTAAAAAACTCCTGCAAGAAGAAATAATTTTTTTTCGTTAAATATGTATTAACTTCCTTTTTAAATTTTTTAATGCTTTTAATGCTTCTGATTTGTTCTGGAATGTTGTTATATATTTTTATTGACATGGCATAGGGACCGGTGTTTACGATTTGTAATTTTGATGTAACTGTGGATAACTTTATTTTTGGTCTTAAATTTTTAGGGTGAAAATATTGAGGGAACCAGTCGATATTATTTCTAACTAGTGAGCATATTTCGGATATATATAGGGATGTTAATGTCAGGATATTATAATTGATAAAGTAATTTCTACAACTTGTTATGGAGTCGATATTTGCCAGTATGCGAATACATTTTTTCTGAATTAGAAATACTTTGTTAGCGTTTGTGCTGTTACCCCAAAGTACCACACCGTAGCGTATCCAGGCGCCTGCGTACGCGTAGTAGGCACAGGTTGCTGTTTTTAAGTCGGTGGTTTTTTAAGTTCTATAAGAGCGTATGTAAAACTAGATAATTTTTTGACAATTTTATTAATGTGTTCCTTCCAATTTAAATGTGTATCTATATTTATACCCAGGAGACAGTGAGAGTTAACAGATTCTAAGGGAATATTTAGTTATTGGTAGTTGATAAGTAAGGGGCGTTTTTGGTATGGTCTAAATTGCAAAAGTTTAGTCTTTTTCAAATTAATCTCGAGGTTGTGATCTTGGAGCCAGCAATTTATTACATTTGAATTAGAGGTTAGGAGATGGTGTAAATCTGTGCTATTGGGACAGGGAAGAATGAATGAAATATCATCAGCAAAAGGAACACAGGGGATATTACATATATTCGGGAGATCATTCACATATATTAAAAACAGCAAACAGCCCAGCACGCTACCCCTCATAAAGTGTTTTAAGAATTTTTTTTAGACCTTACAGTTTCAATAATTCTGGTTTGTGGGTCTTTGTAGCCTATATCTACATACTGGACGCGTTGATTAAGGTAAGATACAAACCATTCGTAGGCCAGACCTCTCACACCCACATTGTAAAGTTTATTTAATAGGATCGAGTGAGAAACCCTACGCTACGCTACAAATATATATATATACATATATTTTTAAGTATTTACATTTTTTTACATTTTATTGTTTACGGTATTTCGCGTATGTGTCCTTATAAATCCAAGTTACTAGCTATTTAACATTATGCCTGTATTAATTTGGCTATACATGAAATTGTTTATGTTATTTCTCTTGTTGCATTTATTAGCGTGTAATTAGCCAGTGATGTAATATAACATTCGGTGTTAACTTTGCCACACATTAGTAATTATCTATGCTATTTTTTTGTTATTATTATAACTGTGCTATTTGCTGGTAGAACAATATATCATTTTATATTAGCTTAGCTAGCTTAACTTATAATTACATATGCTATTTGTTTTGTTACAATATAAATATGATACTAGCTAGTTTTATTTCTATAAATACATACAGCATGCTTAATTATTAACGTGACGTTCTTACATATTTATTATCATACATCATACTCACTACTTAATTCAATTTTTTTTTAAATCTTATAATTATACACTTCGGAACCATTTTCTTTTAGTACCTTTTTCGTGCACCACTCGGCAAATCCGAGGAAATGAATGCGACTGTCATTGTCGTTGATTGCCTTTGTTAGAGTATCTTCATTGAGCGTAAAACCCATGCAGCGTTCGCAATCAAATCTTCTTACTACATATTTAGGATAATCGATTAATATGTGGTCTATAGTTTGCGGTGTAGTTTGATCGCAATCACAACATGGATTTTGCGCTAACTTAAACTTATGCAAATACGCTTTAAATCCTCCATGGCCGGTAAAAATCTGACATCGTAGGTTATTAATATGAACTTTCGTCATGTTCTTATACGCCTGAGTTACTGATGGGAAAAATTTTTTCGTCACTCGTCCGGTTTCCGCTGTAGTGTAACGTTCTTGCCAGTTTTGCAAAGTGTTGTCCCTAATAAGGCGCTTTGCGAATGATAGGGGGAAGCAGTCGAATGCTGGTTTTTGCTTAGAAGTTTCAGCAGCTGACTTGGCTATTTCGTCAGCCCTTTCGTTTCCTGGAATCCCGCTATGTGCCTCTATCCAGAAAAATCTCACTTCACCTTGATTTCTTTTTATTTCTAATATACGATCCAAGATTTCTGCTGCAAGAGGGTGTAGGGTATTAGGGTTTGTTAGAAATTCGAGTGCGAATTGAGAGTCACTTAAGATGTTCGCTTTCCTGAGTGTGTGTTTGCTTTGTATCACTTCTGTGGCATTCATATGGCAGCTAATTCTGCTTGATACACACTACAGTGGTTTCCTAGTTTTAATCTTGCTTTGTATATTTCCTGGCCTTCCTTCCAACAGGTAATGGCAGCACCTACTCTACCAGCTATTTTGCTGCCATCCGTGTAGATACAAGGCCATTCGTTTTCCATAGATTTTAATTCGTGTTGGGTTGTGATTGAACTGTATGATAGCTTTTGTCGTTCTGCTGGGTGAGGTAGAGTGTATGGGATAACAGGTTTCGCTAGCTCCCTGCCGGGTAATTGCGGAAGTGGTTTCCCTATTTTTATTTTGTACAGCATTTTCTTTTGCTCTTAAATCCAGGGGAAGGATTCTGGCTAATGTGACACAGGAGACCATGGAGGATGTGCGGTGTGCTTTACTTATCATGATGCTAAATGTCCTGGTTATTCTGTTGAGCCTCGTCTTTATTTGCTTTTTATCTGCTACAGACCCCCAGGTCCCTGCAGCATAAAGGACTGTAGGTCCAAATACAGTAATATAAATTGTCCTGAGAATTTCTGTGTTAAGTTCCCAGTTCGCTCTCGCTGTACTTGCCACCTTTTTTGTAAAGCTGTATCGCCTTTTCTGAAGTTCTATCTACGTGTTTTATGAAATTAAGATTGACGTCTATTGTGAGTCCGAGAATCGTGACACTATCAGTAAATTTTATTTTGATGTTGTCGAGTGTTAGTTTTGGGTTCTCGAATTTCCTCTTTTTAGTTACTACAATGGCCTGAGTTTTATGGGCTGCCAGTTTCGTTTTACGCAGCTTGCCTCACATTAGTATATGGTTTAAAATCGGGTTAAGCTCATTCTCGATCTCTTTTGCTGTTTTTTGCCCTTCGGATATTAACGTAATGTCGTCCGCGTATGCCTGAATATGTGTTCCTTTTTCCTCAATTTCTCTTAGTAGTGGGTCTAGTAGTAAATTCCAAAGAAGTGGTCCGCAGGTAGAGCCCTGTATACATCCCTTATTGGTTTTCCTAATAGTTTCGTTACCTGCGTACGTAAGTTTTATAAGCCTGTTAGAGAGATAGCTACTTATTATTCTGCATATGGATTTGTCTACTTTTTTGTTTTCAAGCTCTTTGATCATGGCGGGCCACCAGGCGTTATCGAAGGCACCTTCGATATCTATGGAGACGACTACAACTATACATACATAACATAAACACTCACGCCTGTCACCCAGAGGGGTAGGCAGAGACTACAGACTTCCATTTGGCACGATCCTGACACACCTCTCTCGCCTCCTTCACATCCATACACCTCCGCATACATGCTCGTCGGTTAAGGGTACTCCTAATTTGGCCCGTTTTCAATAAATCGCCAATTTGGTCGATAAATTTTCGCCTAGGACGTCCCTTTCCGACTCTGCCATTCACTTCTGCAACATAAATTTTCTTTGTCACTCTTTCCTCATTCATTCTTTCCACATGACCAAACCACCGAAGCATTCCTTTCTTAATCCTGGTCACAACATCATCTTGCAAACCACACTCTTCTCTTATTACACAATTTCTTACCCTGTCATTAAGATTCAGCCCTAACATACTCCTTAACGACCGCATTTCTACTGCGTTCATTCTACTCTCGTGCTTCTTCTGCCACACCCAACTTTCACTACCATATGTTAAAGTAGGGACCAACACAGCATTGTGAATTGCCATACGTGCCTTTTTCGACACATTTTGACTCTTCACAATAGAGTGCAGGGCCCCATTTACTCTATTTCCCGCATTCACTCGTCGTTCTATATCCTTATCATATCTCCCATCCCTGCTAAATACGCAGCCCAAATATACAAACTCGTCTACTTGCTCGATCAACTCCCCTTCTATTCTTATTTCACAAATCGTTTTACTTTCTTCTCTTTCAAAAACCATAACCTTCGTCTTACTTGCGTTCACTTTCATACCCCTTTCTTTCTACAACTATTTCCTTGTTATTTATGCCCTGCTTTATAAACTTTAGCGCATCGTATAGAGCGTCTTCGGTACCTCTCTGCGCAACGAACCCGTACTGTCGACTACTCATTCTGTTCTCCGATCCCAGCTGCCACGACACGACACGATTAATACAATACTGAAAGTTTTATGATAGTTGATGAATTCAGACCCACTATGAATAGGACTTTGTATTAACACATGTTTCCCGTCAATAGCTCCTAAGCAGTGGAAAAAATTCCAAGTTTTGCAGAATCCTTTCTCTATCACTAACCAGCCAGATGATGTTCGTGGCAGCTAAAACAAATAAAAAAAGTTATAAATTATCATGAACGTTTTTTTTTTATTTTTAGGTCACTAACGACATGGAAGAAATAGAAGAAGATAACAGTGAAATAAACGCCTCTGAAGATAGTAAACAGGATGATGAAGAAGTAGTCCAATTTAAAAGACCAAAAACTCTTTCTAAACGTGCCAAAAATATTGATATAGAAAAAAAAATGAATGAAGCATATGATTATTTAAAACAAGTAACTCAAAAACACTGAACTCCGCAGGATGAATGTTCGTTATACACACAATTATTATGCAAAAAATTGAGAGGCTTGCAAGAAAATACACGTGAAATTGTGATGTCGGAAATTGATCGATTGATTTTCAATATAAAGCAAAAAGAATTAATGGCAAACCCACATGCACAAGTACTAATGAATCAATCACAGCTGATGAACTTTGGACATTCCGGCAATCTCCTCTATCGATATCTTCTTCAGCAAGTACATAATTACAATTCAACTCCTTCACAGCCATCAACATCCTACCATCCATCACCTTCTTCACAAACATCCCCATCCTACTATCCATATACTTTTCCACAGCCATCCCAAAATTATCGTCTATCAACTTCTTCACAGCCATCCTCGTCCTACCAAGTACACAAGTCTTTCATATCTTTTCAAAGTATCTATCCAAGCAGTTTCAAGTTGTGTCAAGAACGTTTGTAAAGCATTGATAAAAGAACTATCACAAGAAATAAAAGTAAGTAGTAGAATCAAGTATTTATTTTTTCAAGTCTTAAAAAATTGAAATTGACATCATCAACTTAATCAAAATTACCACTCTCCTGTTCATCAAAATGCCTTAATAAATTTTTCGTAGCTAATAATGTTTCGTCTTGTAACAGCTGCGGAGAAGGAGAATTCGGAGATGGCTGTGGGGAGAAAGTATTTGAGAGTAACTCCGGAGAAGGTGACGGATGGTAGGACGAGGATGGCTGTGAAGAAGTTGATGGACGATAATTTGGGGATCTCTGTGGAAAGGGATATGGATGGTAGGATGGGGATGGCTGTGAAAAAATTGACAGACGATAATTTTGGGATGGCTGTGGAAAAGTATATGGATAGTAGGATGGGGATGTTTGTGAAGAAGGTTGATGGCTGTCAAGGAGTTGAATTGTAACTATGTACTTGCTGCAAAAGATATCGAAAGAGGAGATTGCCGGAATGTCCAAAGTTCATCGGCTGTGTTTGATTGATTAGTACTTGTGCATGTGGGTTTGCCATTAATTCTTTTTACTTTAGATTGAAAATCAATCGATCAATTTCCAACATCGCAATTTCACGTGTATTTTCTTGCAAGCCTCTCAATTTTTTGCATAATAATTGTGTGTATAACGAACATTCATCCTGCGGAGTTTAATGTTTTTGGGTTACTTGTTTTAAATAATCATATGCTTCATTCATTTTTTTTTCTATATCAATATTTTTGGCACGTTTAGAAAGAGTTTTTGGTCTTTTAAATTGGACTACTTCTTCATCATCCTGTTTACTATCTTCAGAGGCATTTATTTCACTGTTATCTTCTTCTATTTCTTCCAAGTCGTCAGTGACCTAAAAATAAAAAAAACGTTCATGATAATTTATAACTTTTTTTTATTTGTTTTAGCTGCCACGAACATCATCTGGCTGGTTAGTGATAGAGAAAGGATTCTGCAAAACTTGGAATTTCCCCCACTGCTTAGGAGCTATTGACGGGAAACATGTGTTAATACAAAGTCCTATTCATAGTGGGTCTGAATTCATCAACTATCACAAAACTTTCAGTATTATATTAATCGTCTCTTGTCGTGGCAGCTAGGATCGGAGAACAGAATGAGTAGTCGACAGTACGGTTTAGTTTCGCAGAGAGGTACCGAAGACGCTCTATACGATGCGCTAGAGTTTATAAAGCAGGGCATAAATAACAAGGAAATAGTTGTAGTCGTCTCCATAGATATCGAAGGTGCCTTCGATAACGCCTGGCTCGCCATGATCAACGAGCTTGAAGCTTGAAGCAACATGTAGTTTGTCTACCCAAAACTTTAATCTTAAGATTAGATAATAAGTGTGTACCATATTTTGTTTATCTCTCTCTCTCTCTCTCTCTCTATATATATATATATATATATATATATATATATATATATATATATATATATATGTATTCATATATACATAATAATAATAACTCACAAAAAAACTAAATAATATAAGTAGTGTAAGAAGTACATTAAAACACAACTACAAAAGTTAAAAAAGTAAACTAAAGCAAAAAAAGGTACGGACCTCTAGTCGTCCGTAATGGCTCTCTTCTGTAAAATAAATATAATTTCAGTGTCAGTCGCGTGTCCCCATAGCAAAATACCATACGACATAATGCTATGGAAATAACTAAAGTAAACTATTCTTGCTGTTTCTACACTGGTATGAGTTCTTATCTTTTTTACAGCATATGCTGCAGAACTAAGTCTGCTAGCTAGTTTTGATATATGGGGGAGCGATTGAAGCTTTGCGTCTAGTATGATTCCAAGAAAAATGGTGGTATCAACAAGACTCAGTTCTTCCCCATTTAAAATTACATTCGTATTAACATGTTTGACATTAGGAGTTACGAATTTCATACATTTAGTTTTAGTTCCATTTAAATGCAAATTATTAACATTAAACCAATTGACTACCTTAGCATTATTTACTTCGTCGTAATTTAATAACTGTCGTTTTAATTTAAAATTAATGAAGTATCATCAGCAAATAATACTATATCATGGCTATCCCCTACTATGTAAGGTAAGTCATTAATATATACAAGAAACAGAAAAGGGCCGAGAATTGAGCCCTGAGGCACACCCATTTGTACAGTCGACCTGGAAGAACTCATACTATTAATTATAACTTTTTGCGTTCTGTCACTTAAATACATGTACTGTGAGGTTGTGTAGAAGGAGGAGGGGGGGGGTGAGAAAAGGGTGTTAAGGGTAGGGGTTGATACAAGGGGGGGAGATATTTTGTGTGTGGCGGGGTCCTGAGAACCTGACTCAAACAAGCTCAAGCTCAGGTGGTCAGGAATAAGGGGTTTAAGAGTTCCCTCTGAGTTTACCTGTAGGATAAAAATTTGTGTTGACAAGCTACGGACTTTGTATACGAATTTGAGTACATGTGATTGGCTTAATACCCTAAGGACTTAGAAAATTGGTGTGGAAGTTGACAACACCAGTAACAGGTGACTGGTTAATTCCCTAAGTAGTTAAAAAGCAGTGTAATTGATATAATCAGGCGTTACTTTGCGGAAATTTATTATAATAAAGATGTTAATATTTAATTCGCAATCATCCGCTTAATTAAATACAATGATGTGTCTTACTTGCATTGAAGAGCACTTCCCGCTCTTCAATCCATGTAAGACACATCATTGTATTATATTAAGCAGATGGTTGCGAATTAAATATTAATATCTGTATTAAAAAGCAGTGTGCCAATCTTCAGTCAATTATTCTGCCTCCAGCCGGCTCCGGTCGTTACTAGCAACGAATCGGTAATATTGTTGACAGCTTGTCACATGTCTCCGATTTAAGCCCTTTTGTTGACAGCTGTTGACAAGTCACATGTTACTGCGGGTTTGGTGACATATCTTCGTAACTTGTGTATGGTGTGCTTGCAGCATAGGGACTTATTATAGTTATAATTCAGTGAAAGCTACTTACAATACACTGTGGCAGTACATAGACTTGGTTACCCATTTATATTAAGAATAGTGACAATGAAGTGCTGCTAGCTGCTTTAATATCAAAATGAAAAATCTATTGAACGGTGAGTATCAATATCATAGTTTTGATTTAAACTTGACATACATTTTAGTGTTTGGTTTTGGTTTTGATTTCATATAAAAGACCAATTATACTGCTTATTACCAGGAAATAGAAAGTCGTAAGAACAGACTTAAAAATTAGGGGCTGGTTGTTTAGAGAAAATTGGACAAATGACTGACAATTTAAAATCATTTATTTTCACTCTTTTAAAAATATAGATGTAAGTTTTACACACAAAGTACTAATTCTACTATTTTAATTTCAGATGAAAAAACCACCAAGAAGGTTAGCTCGATGTATTATATATTTTTTCACGCATATCGTTTAATGATTCGTCAAAATTCTGAAAATTATTTGTAGAGGTTTCGTCTATTGCTTGAGCAATTTTGTCGACGTATACGTCAAAATAGAAACGGAGCGCTTAACTTTCAGTCGGTTGAACCAAGCCTAACTGCGTTCTGAGGAGAATATCCATTTACGTGATGTAATCAGTACTGAAGGAAATGCAGCTAATATTGGTCGATTATTTATTTTGCCGGCGATGTTCATAGGTAGTCCGCGTCATCTGCATGAATAAGCGCAAGATGCAATGACATATCTTCGTCATTACGGTCAGCCAGACCTTTTTATTACTTGTACATTTAATCCAAAATGGATAAAAATGGTTCAATTGCTGCTTGCCGGACAAACACCAAGTGATCGACACGACGTCACAGCACGTGTATTCAGGCCAAAAATGCGGTCCTTAATGAACTGCGTTGTTAAATAATGCGTCTTTGGAGATACTCGATGCTGAATGTATTCAATCGAATGGCAAAAACGAGGCCTGCCGCACGGACACATTATTATTTGGTTAGTGGAAAGAATTTAACCAGACCAAATAGATGATATCACTCGTGCCAAGATTCCCGATCACGAAACTGATCAAGATCTACATGATGTTAAAATTACAAATATGATTCATGGACCGTACGGCACCATCAATCCCCAATCACCTTGCATCGACGGAAAGTGTTCCAAACGATATCCACGGAAATTAACGGCGGAGACCATCACTTGCCAGTGACGATTGTTATTCACTCTATCGGCGTCGATCATCCGATGACAACGGTCGAACCATCACAACAAAAGTGAAAAGAATTGATTTCGTGGTTGACAACAGTTGGATTGTTGTACAATATTCGCCACTTATTTTCAAAACGTTAAAGACACATTGTAACTCAGTATTGCAATTCAGTAAATTTCATAAAATACATCTGCAAATATATCACGCAAGGCAGCGATATGGCGGTTTTTGGCATCCAAACCTCCAATAACAACGATGAAATTGCGCGCTGTCAAGTTGGTCGGTACGTAAACTGCAATGAAACGATTTGGCGTATATTAGCATTCCCTATTCACAAACATCATCCTACTGTTGTGCATTAGGCGGTGTATTTGGAGAATGGTCAACAAGTATATTTCACGGCTTCAAATGTTGTTCAACGTGCTGTAACACCTCCAGCAACAACATTGACCAGTGTCTTTGCGATCTGCCAAAGCGATCTGTTTACATGAACTTTGCTTTACTCGGAGATGCCACGTTATTACACTTGGAATGCTTCATCAAGAATTTTCAACGACGGAGGCAAAGCAATGCAGTTCCTGGTTATCCGGATGTGCGTTCTACTGATGTTCTTGGTCGTATGTATACAGTTCATCCAAAGAATGATGAATGCTTCTATTTGCGATTGTTGCTGGTAAATGTGCGCGTCATTTGAGTTCCTACGGACTGTTAATGGCACAATATTCCCAATATATTGTGCTGCATTTGAAGATCTCAGTTTACTAGAAAACGATACCCATTGGAATACGACAATAGCTGAAGCAATTATCTCTGCATCTCCAAATCAGATACGCACATTAATTGCTATCATCATTCCGACATGCTATCCATCCAAACCTATCTAACCTGTGGCACAAATACAAGGATATTATGTCAGAAGACATTTTACATCAAATTCGTGTAAGTTCAGAAAATCCCGATCTTGAGATGAATGAGGAAATACATAATCGGGCTTTGTTCTTGATCGAACACATGTGCTACCTCATGTACGGTAGTTTATTAGTCAGGTTAGGAATGCCAGCGCCAAATCGTGAAATGAATAATGCATTTAATCGAGAATTGGAACGGAAACGTGAATATGATCATTAGGAATTAGATTTAGTAGTTCAAACGAATGTAGCCTTGTTGAATCCCCAACAAAAGAAAGTTTATGATACATTAATGAAGGAAATTGATAATGGGAATGGTGGTTTATATTTCCTGGACGCCTCTGGTGTAACTGGTATAACATTCCATATATCATTACTTTGAGCCACTAGTAGTAATCATAGTTAATACTATAAAAATATTGAACTAATAAATAAAAAAATATTATTACTATATAAATTATAAGTCAGATATCTTATATTAAATGCTTAGCAATGAGTCAACTGGTATTATAGTCAATTTATTTGCATTAATCTACAATTGTGAATTGAACAATATTTATCTTTAACAGTATACCAGAAAAAGTGAACACAACAACTGTTCATCCTGCCAAGAACTCAAACAAATAATAGAAAGAGTTACTGACGAATATAAAATGTTAAAGGTGCAACTTAATCAATCCAAAGACACAAATGAAAAACTTACACGTGGCCTGTTCAATTTAACTGAAGTAATGCTTGCTTCACCTAGATATAAAACCCAAATAATATTAACAATCTTGGACCAACCAACAGTAATAACTCTAGAATTGGAGGAATAAATTTCCACGATGTTCCTAACAGGCTGGCTGCACCGAATCATGGCTTGAACACCAGCGGCACTGATGACACAGTATCTGTTGTTACGACCACTAGTAATAATCAAACAAGTGGACAACAAACAATTATTAATAATGACAATAATGAGGACTATGGAGCTTCAACAAGCAGTCGAATGACTGATGTTACAAGTATCCACATAACGGACTCCACAGAAACGTTCAATTCATACGGAAGTAGAGGTAAAGGTGGCTATCAATGCACATTGTGTGGTGAATTTTATACTAGTCGTAATATTCTTAGACACTTTGAAATTAAAAACACGCAAATTATATGGTGGGTCGTCTTCGCGATTATTCATTATATCCTGTAGCTTACTATTATAAGATATCGCGCCGCGACTACAAGGCCCAGCTGAGCTAAGTACGATCAAGACCGCGAAAATGAAGCAACAGATACATCATCCGAATCTGCAGAATAAAGCATTAGACATTAATATTACTATTTCTACCATTAATTATTACCTATTACAAGAACTGACTTCAATAATATTCTAACTGTACATATACATTGTATATAACTATTCTATTGTTAATTAACACTACATTGACAATTATTTAGTAGTAAGACTAGCTTAAGTAATAATAAAATTGTGTTATTATTATACTTTTGTTTAAACACTTTTTACACACATTTCCTATTTCATTATACTAAGTAATTGAACATAATTAGAACTCCTGTTAAATTTAGTTAAGTACACTCAATTAATAATTTGGTTTAAGGCAAACTAAATAATTTTAATTTTACAACAAATACATAAAATTAACAATTTATAATGACTCAATTTCACTTCCGATTATTATAAGTAACCATATTAAACTTAGTTATAAGACAAATTAAATCAGTATAATTTAACAAACTACTATATTGTCAGTACAATATAAAAATTGCTCAACTTGCTTAAGTATAATCTTCTATTTTGTTGTTAGTTAAGACTACATTGTAAATTATTTAGTATTAAGACAAGCTTAAGTAACAATAAAAATGTATTATTATACATACTTTTTATTTCATTATACAAAGTAATTAAATATAATTAGTAGTTCTGTTAGAATTATTTAAGAACACTCAATAAATAAAAAGTCACTAGTGAGTGACTTTTTATTTATTGAGAATATAGTGATATTGTTTAATCTTCTAAAATTGGAGAAACTGTAACGGTGTATCATAATTTATTTATTTTGTTGGTTCACCAACAAATGTTACACTAATGCATTTGCTTAAATCTAAGACAGTGATATAAACTAAGTGCACATTCAATAATAGGTAAACACCGCATGCTTAGTGCTCACAGCATTTCCTACAAGCCTTTACATAATAGCTAAAACTATACAATACACAATTACAAAAAAAAAATTAATTAATAAAAAAAATTAGGTACTACAAAGAAATATTAATAGTTTGATAAATTTTGTATCGAAAAACATTAAAAGAGTCGTGGTTATATCAACTACATTATTATTAAAGTATTTAATAGTCTGCAAAGTCTGGGTATTGGTAATTAGATCCTACTACAGTTCTACGAAAGGGCGGCGAAAGAGGAGTAATGTGCTTACGAGGATATCTAATTGGGATACGGAAATTAAATTTACTTAGTAATAAAGGACAATCTAACTTATTTCTAAATATTTTATATAAACGTTGCAAATCCAGAATATCGCGGCGTTTAAACTGTGAGACCATTTTAAATATCTTTAATCTGACAACATATGATGCATTTTTATACGATTTTCGTGTTGAAAAGGCAAGATTCCATAAAAATCTTTTTTGTATGTAATCATTACAGCCCTTCACAAGTCCACTGCTGTACTTAGGCCTCCCCCAAGGAATGCCACAAAGCACGGCCCTAAGCCACCTCCATCCATCGGCTTCCTGCATGTCTTACAAGGTCGTCATTCCATCTAGTGGGGGTCGCCCTACACTACCCCTACCGGTACGAGGCTGCCACTCGAGAACCTTTTTGCATAGCCGGCCCATTGCAACTTCAGCTTACTAATTTGTGGGGCTATATCGGTTACTTCGATTCTACAGCGGACATCCTCATTTCTAAATTTATCACGCAGAGAAACCCCGAGCATATCCCTCTCCATAGCTCGCTGAGTGACCTTGAGCTTCTTCATACGGCCAGAAGTGAAGGACCAATAAATCATCACTGGCAACACGCACTGGTTGTACAATCTAGTTTACTGATTTTGAGGTATACCTACCTGACAAGAAGATGTGCCATAATTTCCCGAACGCTGCCCAGCCGAGTTGAATCCGTCGATAGACCTCTCGTTCAAAGTTGGTCAATAACTTCGAGCTTAGTGCTCCCAACAACTACCGGCATAGGTCTGACATGGACATTAAACATGATCTTTGTTTTGTCCATGTTCATATTAAGATCTATCCGTTGTATGACTCTGTTGAAGTCATTGAGCATAGTGCTTAGGTCGTCCAGCGATTCTGTCATAAGGACTATATCGTCAGCAATTCGAAGGTGAGTGATGTACTCGCCGTTGATGTTAATACCGTATCCGTTCCAGTCCAGTAGCTTGAAAACATCTTCCAACGCGTATAACGTCACCCTGTCTTACACCTCTCTGCAGTTGGATAGGTTTCGCACTCTGGTTCAGTACTCGGATATCCATCGCAGTCCTACTGCACAAACACTTCAGCACTTCGATATACCGACGATCAAGAGAGTTCTTTAAGAGAGCGTTGTCGCATTACTTGAAGAACAATACCTACGCACTTGCACTGCTCCACGCCACCAGAGTAGTGCCACCATGAAAGACAGAATTGAAGAGCTTTTGAAGGACTCTAAGTATCGGTTTTCCACCCGCTTTCAGAAGCTCCGCTGTAATTCCACCCTCGCCCGGGGACTTAAGGTAAGGTGCTGGAGGGCCATTCTAATCTGGCTCAGACTGATGTCGGGGATATCATCGGAATAGTGTCGGATAAGACTTGCTCATGAATCGGTACTCACAATTGCGTGTGGCTCCGACAATAATGTGTACACCTGCCCATAGAACCTCTCAATGTCACTGAAAACGTCGAGTGTCCCGGAAACGATGTTACCACACTCGTTCATCAACTTTGTCAGTTGGCGTTTCTGGCAGACAGATCTCTGGCAAAAACTTTGGAGCCCTGGTTCCGTTCAATCGCTTCTTCAATACGAACAGTATTAAAGTTGCGTAAGTCCCGCCGCAATAATAATGATGTAATGATAATGGTTGCGCGGAGAACCATTCGTATTTTGAATTTTATACGAAGGTAGGCTTGCCAAGCATTCCTTTCCTTCACCTATCGTCCCTCCGTACACACCGGGGTGGTGGAGTGAGGAAAAGAAGATAATTCTAGAATGTCGCGTGATTTGCAACCAATGAGAAGCGCGCCCCTCCAAGACGCATTGAAAGGAGGGCCGAAGTAATATAAGCTAGCACACGGCCCTCGTGCGCTCTTGCCCTTGCGCCGCTGGTTGGAAGAACACCGCCTGGGACAATCGCGTCCTAGAGGGCTTTGCCCATGCGCACCGCTAGTTTCAAAATCGCACCAACCTGAAGCAGTCGAGCTCCAGGAGTAACCGCCTCACCTAGTGTGAGATATCGTCGCGCACCGCTCTCTTCCACCGCACCACCGACCAGGACCGCATCCCTGGGGCCCCAGGAGATCCGCCAGAAGTAGCACCGCAGCGTACAAGCCGCATCGAAGTAACACCCCGGTTCTCCTTAAGTAAGTCCTTATGACTCCTGCTTGAATATTTGTGTTTTATTAGTTAATCCGCCTAATTTCATTTCTCCTAATGTGATCAAGCAGGGTTCCTTCATAAACCTTGGCAAGCAATAGGTTTTTTGGAAGAACGAGTGCATTGTCAAGGAACCGCATGCTACAGCCGCCATTTTGTTGAAGCAGAAGAAGCCAACCGCGTATACAGTCCATCTAGTAAAACATCTCGCGTAGTAGGGTCAAGGCTCGACCAGGGAATTGTGACTCAGCAACCTTAAGGCCCGCCACCCAACCATTTTCTGATCCTTCGGCCGGATTTGGACTGGTATCTTATAGCCTCACCAACCATTCAATCATCGAATTGCTAGATTAATTCCTTAGACAATGCACTCCAATTTAAAATTGAATAGATTCAAATAGTGTTCGTTCGTCTCGAAAACAAATTTTAAATTTAATCGTTTAGTTTAAATTTAAAATTTGGTTAGTTTTATTCGCAAATAGAATTATTCATTTAAATAGTGTTTGTTTGGTTTGAGTTTGGAATTTATTGGTTACTCGCATAAGTGAATCGACTTATTCATTTAAAATAGTTTAGTTCCGCACGGATATTCGGCCTACTCGACATTTGTAAAAATAACAGAGTGAGTTTAGCTTACCTATCGACGCGCGTCACCTCGTTTCATTGCAAAGGTGTTCAATTTAACGACGTAATAAGGCACGATAAGACAATAGTGTTGTGAGATATAGTTGTATTGCATTGTGTCCATCCTACAGCGTTGTGCGATTAATTGTGATTAATCTAATATTAATTATAGTAATTTAAAATGGCAATTATTGGAAATGAAATTAAACTTAAAACTCTTTACGCCAAGAGGGACATACTCTTTTCACGTATACAGTGTATAAGTGATCACATAAAGAATATTAGCGTAGAAGCAGTGCGGCAGACGTTTTTATGTGAAATCGAAACGGTGGACTCTTTACGGACGGATTACGAAAGGATATTAGACCAAATCAATAATTTGGAATTACAAATCGACCCTAAGTATACAGTAAATTACCAGCCGCTGCTATCATTTGAAGATATGTTGTGTCGCGTGAAAAGAACGGCAAAGCTCTTGCAGTCCCTATCTCAAAGCAAAGCAAAGCCGGAAGCCCAGGTACGCCCACGTGATCCACTCAGATTGCCCACCATAGAAATTCCGGTATTCAATGGCGATATTAAAACATGGCCGTTTTTCTTTAGTAGTTTTCAAAACAACATACATAATAATCCATCGTTAACGGACGTTGAAAAATTATATTTCTTAATTAGTAAAATAAGCGGTAGGGCACAGTCTATTTGTTCGGGCTTCACACCAACAGCAAACAATTATTCATTAATATTTGAAACACTTAAGGACAAATATGAAGATAAGCGAATGTTAGCCTCTTCATATTTAGACCAAATATTCGATCTTAAAGCTATTTCATCCGCGAACATCACCGGCTTAGAGCAGTTTTTGGATAAATTTGTAGCATCCGTGGCTGCACTTAGGAACCTGAAATTTAATGACCTTACGGACGTGGTGTTTCTCCATATCGCCTTAAAGAAATTAGATTCAAACACCGTAAGTGCGTTTGAAATGGAGCATCGTACTTCTGAGTTACCATCATTCGATTTATTAGCCTCCTTTGTGCGAGATCAAATCAAAGTGTTACAGCGCTCCTCGAATGTTCACTTCCCTCGCGGATTCTGTGTTATTCAGACGTGTCTATAGTGCAATATCAAACTGAAAAATTAACTTTGTGAAATAGGAAAAATAAGATGTTAAATATTAGGAGTGCATATCATTTAGGCGGCCGTAGAAAGTCAATCCAGCAAGAAATATAGTCAATGACAGTGAACTGTGAACAAGCACACAAGAGGCTACAAAGGCATATAGTATTATAATTCTCTTCAATAATACTAGGAGCACATAGCATCAGAGAGCTAACTTGCAGTGAAAGAGCAGTACAATACGTCTTTGGACGAAGATGAGAATAACAACGTGAGTCACCTCATTACTGACTACACCTACTTACTCAAACAGCATTTTGCTATCCTTATTTTACACGTTTGTGCTGCTTTCGCGTAGAAATTCATATATAATATTCTACGCATATTGTGTTTTCGCTCTCACGGCTGTTTTAGCCTATGATTTTTACGTATACCGCGTAATTAATTTAATTATATTAACGATGTCGACGCAGCGGACTCCGCCCGGCTCTCGTCAGCAACTGAATATACAAAATTCTGCAATGCATTACAACTTAGACTTGCCCTTAACACGACAAGTAACCCTGATTCGGATGACAATAATTATATTAAGATTACAAAGAGCCTTAAACGTGCGTTAGGCGATCTCCCATTTCAGCCGCTGTCGTCCATCTCTGAAATCAAAGTTATGTTTGCTGAGCTAAAAACTCAACAAGATCAGAAATTTGAATTACTGAATACCGCCCTCATGACCATCGTGACCCAAAATCAAGAAATTCAAAAATCTGTTGAGACTCTTACTCACCAACATCAAGATTTGTTAGCAAAAATAAATCATTTAGAGCTAGAAAATAATGAATATAAGCAGCAAATCCTCACCTTAGAAACTAAACTAGACCTCCTTGAAAAATGCGCGCGTGGTAATTCAATTGAAATACGTAACCTGCCGGTACAGACCAACGAAAATAAGATAGTCCTGAACGATATAATCCATAAACTTGGCTTAACTTTGGGTCTGAATACTCCCATTCAGGACTCGGAGATAAGAAATATATTCCGTACAAAGACAGACGCCATAATAGTAGATTTCAATTCAATACTGAGGAAGGAAACTTTTCTTTTAAATTATAAAAATTATAATAAATCCAAACGGCAAAACGGAGAAACAGTGTTAAACTCGGAACACATTAATTTACCTGGTACACCGCGCTCAATCTACATTTCAGAATACTTGACAACCAAATTAAGAAGAGTTTTTTATATAGCCCGTGAGAGTGTCAAGAACAAAAAGTTATTTGCTGCATGGACCGCTTACGGTAAGATCTATGTAAAGAAAGAAGGGGGAACTAAGCCAATTCGCGTTGACAACGAATCAGAACTATATAAACTTACTTTGTGACTAATATTTGTTTTGTCGGTTTGTTTTTTCTATTTTTCTTTAGTACTTAAGTTTTTCCAATATTTTTTATTAATGTATTTTTCTGTTAAATTCTACAATTACTTTTATTCTATACTAGCGAATTGCAGACCAGCACACTATATATCTCAAGCAGACATTACATACATTCCACACATAATATTCATCACACTGTACCTTATCAAATTTTGACACAGGAATACAACAGTAAGCAATACTTCTCAATCGTCGATGTGGTTTTTTGCAGCATAACACATATCAGGTGCCACAGATATTTTTGTTCCGGATTACGGTTTAATTTTTTTCAACAAATTAAGACTTTCAAATCACGGCCGTGCCGTGATAGTATATATTTCATTAGATATTATTGTATTTCGTAGATACGAATGCAAAATATTGAAACTTTAAATCTTGATCTGGACACTTTTCAAGTGGCTAAGGCGATTTCCTGTGACGTCGATGATGTAAAGAACCACATTTTAAACAACAATTGTAAACTAAATATTTTGTGTCAAAATATACGCAGCATTAACTGTAATATGCCGAATTTAATCACGCTTCTAAATAGATCCGAATTATTCTGGGATATTATAGTCCTAACAGAATGTTGGCTTTCTCTAAATGCTGTTCATAACTCTCAAAATGAGGGAGTCGTAATATATTACAATAAAAATATTAACGTCACTTATGAGGAACCTCACATAAGTGATGCAAATTGCAACCTACTAAAATTAAATTCTTATACTTGCATTATTGGTATATACCGCCCGACGTGTAAAACTAACATATACGATTTTATTAAATCTTTGGACTTACTTCTTTTAAAACTAAGTAGCTATAAAAATATCATTATTTGTGGTGATATTAATATTGATATAATCTCTAATACTTCCGATAAGCGCTCGCATGATTATTTAAACGTACTAGCAAGTCATTGTATTCTACCTGGCCATACTATACCCACCCATGGACGGACATGCTTAGATCACTTAATGTTAAAAACCTACCTGGAAGCAACCTGTTTCGTTTTTGAATCATCAATTACTGACCATGAGACCGTAGTTGTCAGTCTCAATCAAATCACTTACTCTTCGCAATTAAATAAAAAAATTATAATCGATTTTGAGGGATTAGATAAATCGATATCTAATATAAACTTCCGGCCAATTATTGAAAGTACTGATGCCAACTTAGCGACAAATATACTCATATCGTACTTATATAGTGCCATCGAATACAACAGTAGGTTGGTTAAAACTCCTATAAAACAACATATTAGTAAACCGTGGATAACCAAAGGTCTGCTTCGGTGTATGAGGAATAGAGACAACCTCCATAAAAAATTGAAAAAAAATCCCACTGACGAAAATATCAGGATTTACAAACGTTATAGGAATTTTTGTAACACGTTATTTAAAAAAGCGAAACTTAGCTACGAAAAGCAAGAAATAAAAAATACTAAAGGCAACAATAAGAGACTATGGGAAGTCATAAAGAAAATTAGCCGGTATAAGACACCTGATCATCCTCTTATCAGATATCTTCTTTCAATTCGGAAGAAGGAAGTGTAAATAATATTAACACTTATTTTGCCAATGTGGGATCTAGGCTGGCCGAGCAAATAAATTGTACAAACCGACAACTAGCTGCACCTGATGGTAATTTTTCTCCTCTCTTTACTCAAACCCCTCTTAACTCACTTGTTATGCTTCCTGCCGACGAAGCAGAAATCTCCCAGCTCATTAAGGGGTTAAAAGACAACTGCGTTGCGGGGAGTGAGTGAGGAACAATTATAAAGAGGTATATAAAAATATTAATACCCCCAATTTTACAAATATGCAACCTGGCCTTAGAAACCGGTGTATTTCCTAGTGCATTTAAGATAGCCTTTATCACACCCATCTTCAAGGGAGGTGATAGAAACTCAGTCGTTAATTATCGGCCGATCTCTATTTTACCAACCTTATCAAAAATTTTTGAGCGACTAGTCAATCAAAGGTTGGTTAGCTTTTTGGAGTCAAATAATTTTATTTCACCCAATCAATTTGGTTTCCGACGCGGTAAAACTACTAATGATGCTGTTCATGATCTATTAACACGACTATACTTAATTTAGATAGAAAAAACAAGTGTTTAACAGTATTCTTTGACTTGTCTAAAGCTTTTGACACAGTCTCTATCCCTCATCTCGTAAAAAAACTAGAAAGGGCTGGTGTAAGGGGTATTCCATTAAAACTGATGGAAGATTATTTGACCGATAAAAGACAGCGGGTCCGTTTAGATCATTATACAATAAGTGATGTTACCTATCAAATTTGGTGTGCCACAAGGCAGTATTCTCGGTCCGACACTTTTTCTGGTATATATCAATGACCTATGCCAACTTCAGCACTCTAAAGGAAAAATAATCACCTATGCTGATGATACTGCCCTTTTCTTTGCCGATGATTCCTGGCATAATGTTTTTGAGAACGCTCAGATA